TGTTAACATTCGTTATTGAAAGTCCATTTCATGACAATATGGGATATATTATATAGCAATATTCACAATCTGAAATATTTGAAAAAGCTGATATAAAAAGAAATAAACCACCTACAAATCAAAATCTTATTTTGTAGAAAACCACTTATGTTACTTCACCTAAACTTTTGCAATTTAACTAAACATTATAAAAAAATGGTTATTAGTAGAATTAGCAACATAATAGTACTAACAACAAGTAAGATGAGTGGCTGAAGTTCAAAAGTTATTTATGGGTTTTAAACAAATCTAGGATGTAAATAAACTCCATATGGCTAAACAACCGAGGAATTTTCTACACATCCACTGATTACGCAAGCAAAAATATCACAAGAATTTGATTGTTACACTGTAAATATTTCTCGCGTCTGTAAAATTTCTTTTACTAATTCAAACAATTATTTACAAGTAAAAATATTTTGTAATATTAGTTCACATTTAGTTTATAAACTAATTTCAAAGATTATTTACAAACGTTAATTAATGGTTAAAGGTTTTTATATTGCCATAGAGTTAAATGGATCGACAATCATTTTAATTTCCATCAAAAACAAAAGTATAAAGAGGTTAGCCAGAATTATGTAATGCAGTTAAAATTTACTACACTTCACCATTTGTTGTTATGGTCTTTAGGGAAAATCTATAAATTCATTGCTATTATTATTCTGTTAACTAATTTCAATAAAGATGAATAAATTAACCAATGATACTTGCCTTTCAAATCATCATAAAGAAGGATTTGAAACAAAAACATGTTTAGCTATCATACTTACAACCAAATCAAATATAATTGCTAGCTCAAAAACGCTCTATTTGGCACATCCAGGAACATAATTATTAAATGAAGTGAATTTAGAGAGTGGAATTAAAATAATTAATTTTCTATATACTCTAGTAAATTAAGAGCACCAATTGCAACATGCTTAACAAGAAAAATTTCAATATCAACAGGTAAATGGAAAGGAGCTAGATGAAATTACTTTATTTGTTATGATCATTTCTGCTCCCATACGTTAGGTGTTCATGATCTCTAAATTTATAATCTAATAATTAATATGATTCATAGCTAATGCAAGAGTCAAGAAGGCCCTCAAAGTGGACAAGTTGAAAATTTACAACAAAATTACTTCAAAATATCATGGAAAAGATAATACTACAACTTATTGGAGGAACAAAAACAATTCAAATAAATGATGAACAACTTTTAGAAGGACAAAAATCAATAGATTGCAGTTTAAATTATACTCACTACTCCTTTTAAAATATATTGAGAACCAAAATCAATTTTTCATTTTTTTTTGAATACCTCATAAAATATTTCATAAAAGCATTCCTAAAATTATAATTATGTAATGACTTGTTTCATCAAATAATGCAAGCATTGATGTACTATTATTACTTGCTATTTTAAATTACCTACATAATATTTAATAGAATTTATATAGTTGTAGTGAAATAGATGGAAACATAATTTTATTTCATTTGATAGTTGTGATCGAAATATACCATCCAAATTGAGTTTGGTGCATCATTTTGCCTCAGGAATTCAAAACTTCCAAATTTTCAGAATTAGTATTAATCAACATCTATTGAAACAGGTATGAGGCACATGTATTTAAACATAAAATAATAAAACTAAACAAGATTCTCATTTAGTGGTGAATTTAGAGGCACAAATTACCAATTTACTTTATTTTTACCCAGAAGGAATGGAGCTAATAATTACCAGCCTATTAAGTCAATTCTAAAGTTGTTTATTTTGTGTGATTCTGAACTGCACGCAGTAAATAGTTTAATTTGTTGATATCAAATGGCTTTTCCCTCCATAATTAGAATAATGGCTTAGACTTCAAATAGTTAGCATGAGGAACTAGCCTTTAATCTTTTCCTCACCAAAAACCTGCTAAGTCCTCTAAAAAAAATTTATTCAACATCTTTAGATTTCAAAACTTCATCCTACTCCTTTTATTTCATTTTTCATATTATTAATTTATTTTGAGTTGTTTATTATACACCTAAAAAACTAACATTGTAAGAATTGTTGCTGATTGCATTGAAGTAATTATCGAGCACTCAAATAAACTTTTCATTGCTAGGGCGAAAAGTGCAAAAAATAATTATTAATATTCAAGAATGTAGGTGATAAAAGAATAGATGTTTTATGCTGTTCGCCTTCAGTTACTTCAATAGTTTAATTGAAATAATATAATTTGTTTAGGGGCTTCCAACAAATATTATTTTTTAGTATCATAATATAAATCATCTCAACTAGAGATATCTGATAATTACGTATTGGGCGGACTGAGATGTGATGCCAAAAATTCAGGAGGTGCTTTTCTGGTAAATTTCTAAATTGTTCATTCCCTGATACATATTTGTGAGGCTACCAAATCTATAGTTGCATTTTTATTAGAGGCCTTTATTTATTTTGCTGATTGAACTAATTGAGCATGTTATGTACGTGATTTGCTGATAACTACTTACTGTAATTTTGGTTATTCTGTAAATTAAGTTAGTGTAAAGAATCACCTTTATTAGAGTTTAAACAATGATATTTGGAGAATTTACTAATTTTAAATGTATTAAAAATTTTTGATTGTACTGGTATGGAAAATAATAATGCTTGTTTTCTAGTGATGGAGCCTGCAATAATTAAACTAATGAAATTTAAGTAAAACCAGAACAGGTCTTAGATAGGCAGTCAGAATGCACTCCTTGCTTCCTAAGTTAAATCTTCCATTTACTTTGTTTTAATAAATATTGAGCACTTCACAAGAATGATCGTACTCTACTCTAATACAATGCACTAAGTGTTTTAAAATTTTTTTGCAGTAAATGATTGCACCTTTATATTGATAAATAAGCCATTCTATTAACAGAATCACATACTCTTGCTCTATTAATTCTTATATTTCTTTACTTCAAGTCTTATTATAATGAGTATAGTCATTGTTGTGCTTTATTCTACCATCTAGTACAGATATCATGTCAAACTTATCGGTTATATGCTTCCTTCAGGACTAATGATGACGAACTTAAGGATTGTTTACATTTTGTTTTTCACAATCAAGATTTGATTGGCAAATATTGTTACATCATGCACTTGAGTGTTATTTAATTACATTTAACGTAATTGCTAAAATATGTATTACTAAATACTACCGCCCCTAATTATTTGATTTTACTACAAATTATGTTTATACTTCAAATGGCCTAAATGTTTTCATCGTTGCACTACTTTAGTCTATTCTATCCGTTTATGGGGTTTAAGACAGGATAATAAATAGCCAAATTAGATGGTCATTTGAGCGTGGAGAAAAAAAATTATGAAAGTTATTTTTTCTGATTGGTTTAAAAATTTTAACTCAAAGAAGATTTTAATTATGATAGGAGAAATTGTTAAATTTCGAGGATTATTAAAATATTTAATTTTACTAATAGGATCGAAAATTATATATATGATATATGATATGAGTGAATCAATACAAGATATGGTGAAAAGGATATCAATTTTGTGTAATTTGGATTAGTAAAGCAAATTGAGATGGGAAAAAGTTTGTGATTCTATTAAACACAATATAAAGTGAAATGGAAAGGGAAATTATTACGATCCTATATAGAAGAATGAGCATTTAAATTGAATAAGAAAGAGAGTAAATAAATAGTTAAGTGATTATTATTTAAAGCTACCTTGAACTTTAGTTAGTTAACAATTCAATATTCTACTCCTTTTCAATAGCAGTCTTAAAATTAGTTCTTTCTCAAATAGCAAAATATATTGAAACCAAATTTTATTTTGTAATTAGAGATAATAAGTAATTTGTTGAAATAATAAAATCATTTAATAATTCTAAAAGCATCCTTAGAATAATATCATTATTATGGCTGCTTCACCTTCTTAGGTTAACATAATAGTAGTCACTATTTCTAACCTAAAATAAATAAAAAATCGGCAATTAAATTAAGAAGCTATTTGATCAAGAATAAAAATATTAATATCAAGTTGGTTGAAAATATTATCTATTCATTCTCTGCAGCCTTCCTCTTATAAATATTGGCAATTAATTTATTCAAAACTAAACTATATTATTATTTAATTACAAAAAGAAAACTTAATTAAGCATCATTTATTTTCAGAACATATCTTTAGTTTTGAAAGAATTTTTACTTGTAGGCGTGATATCCGATGAATTTGGTTTCTTATAAACAAAAAGAAGCTATGAAAGGTAATTTATATGTTTAAACAAAATGTGTCGATTCAAATAGATTTCCCCTGAGGCTTTTCTAATTGCAGATTGTCACACTTAGTTTTTGTTTACTTCTCAACATTACGAAACTGATAATTATTTGAGAGTGACTTCTATTGTATTTTTTTTGTTTCTTTATTTTTATTATAATGAAAAGTCTAATAAATTATTATATGATTATAAGTTCTTTTTGAAACAAAATATCAATATCAGCTTTTATACAATTTTTCTTTTGATAATTAATTGATTTAGTTAACTATGTCTTAAGTTGAATATTGACAAGCTCAAGCTCGATAGGACGAAAGAATATTGAGTTTTTAATGTCTATACTAAGTCTATGAATCAATTATAGTTGCCTTACAATACCTAATTATAGTAGTTGAAATTTTTAACAACAGTGCTATTTTAAAAATAAACTCTAAAGACAGTGCTAGGATCCATATGAAAATTCCTGACACTAGTCCAATTAGATGCAAAAAATCTTCAAAAATAGCCCAACACAAATCCTTTCTTGTAATTACCAATACCTTTAGAAATATGTCTAGTCAACAGCTAGTACATTTTAGTTCACCGCTAAAATAATATATTCGACCTTTAAAGAAAAATCATCAGCATTTTATGACGCATTAATATAATCCAACTTAATTTCGCTTATTTAATTCATCTCTAAAAATAAATCTTAATTATTTAATGTGTTAATTTAAATATTAAACAATGAAGACATCTAAATTCATATCTAATAATAATCTATAAGTTTCGACTTTAGAAGATCCAAACTAGAACGAAGGTATTGAACAGTTATAAAATCCAAATTATTTTGAATTTTCAAATTATCACCTAAAGGTCCAAAATTAGCTCCCTTATATTCAATTAAGAGGAGGTGGATGTTGTGGAGCAACAAAAGCCCATCAGAATTTGATTTATGAAGATAAATAACTTGAAGAGAATTTCGCCTCAAATTTAGAAAAGTTTACAAACATAATAGTTGAAAAATCCTTAAGTTTTCAAGATAAATTGTATTAGGATGAGGTACTTTCAGCATTTTAATGGTTTTACAATCATAAGTAGTAATTTCATATACTCTGTTAAGAGGAATCTTTAGTCTTAAAAAATTATGAATTAATAGAAAAAATAACTGAATAATTATTGAAACAATTAACTATTTATATCAAACTTTCGGGTTTCCTATTTTATACTTTGCTCTAAATTTGTAATGATCTATTTAGAATAATATTTTCGTATTAATTAAAAAATGAAGAAAGATACATGTAGGAAGACTTAAAACAAAAATTTTTGGGATATATTTCTGAAATAGAATCTCAAATTAGTGTAGAGGCAATTAATATTTGGCTGAATGGAGTGGAATTTGAGCTTTAAATGATCAAAACCTGCATTGCTCATTGTAGAACAAACTCTGGAAAAGGTAAAGAATTAGCAATCTCAATTTTGTGTGGATTGATGTCATCAATATCATAACTGAAACCTAGTGATGAATTAATAAATTCATTAATTGAAGGTGGTAAATTTTTACTGCTGAATTTCTATGATAAAAAAATTTAAAATCCTCTAGAAATATATGAAATCTACTTTTTTTTCGAAAATCTCAAATGGTAGATCTTGAATTAATTAAGATTGGGATACTCAACTTAGAATATTATTAAGCAACTTCAAGATGGATATTCAAAGTATATAAAATTTTCTAAGGATTGGATGGTGCATTATTGTTGGGTCAACCTGGTATCTGATCTTATGTGTTACAGACCAATAATTCATAAGAATTAATTAGCATATCTATTATAATAAGGAACCACTGAATAAGAAGTTTGGGAACGCCTAATTAATTAAAGTTAAATAATTCAGTTGCCATATGATAAATTTGCTGGTAAACTAATTATATTTAAAAAATCAAATGTAATCTTCAAAAAGTTTAGAACATTCAAATTATTTTAAGAGTACTTGATTCAAAATTAAACGGATACTTAATTATTACCAAACTATATCAATTTTAATTTCAATGAAAACAAAGGTTAGTAAATAACTCATGAGGACCTTTTTATTCAACAACTAGCCAATTAATCAAATTTAGAATTATTAAAAGCTTTAATAGCTTAATTAGTTTCTATAAAAGAGTAGTTACTAAGTAATTTGGAAGCTCTTAAATTATAAATAAATTAATATAATAGCTAATTATAAAATAATAAACTGCTAGAAATAAAAATAAGCAGGCAAGACGTAATGTTTCAGATGTGTTAAATAAAATAATCAAGCTTCTTATTATACTGCTTATTAAACGAGATATGTTTATTAATAAATAAAGAGCTCTCTATGAATTCTATTTTCTAAACCATATTACAAGGGACTAGTGAAAATTTAAGTGAGAAACAGAAATAATAAAAGCAAAAGTCGTTAACAGTTATTAAAGAAATTGAAAACAAACATTCAACAGAATTTCTAAATAATCTACAAATAGTATCTAGATTTTGGATATAAATATGTTAATTTACAACTATTTCCCATGAAGAATTAATTGTTGGTAAGCTTGAAATGGAAGAACCACTTGAATCAAAAATAAGCTAAAATATTATAATTATTACGAACATCATTAATTATTTAGATAAATTTGTTGAATAATAAGTGTCCATAAAGAGAAATTGTTTATCAATTTTAGAGTAGAAATAATTCCAAGGATTTATGAAAGAACCAATTTCCTAAATAAGAATAGCATCATAAATTATTAAGTTACTTAATCCAAACTTGATATTAGCTTTAGTTAATGAAATTCTTGAACATTTTAAAGTCTTGTAAAAGGAAAAATTAAATATTGAAAAAGTGTCTGATATAAGAACAATTTTGATAATGATTTATTCTAATTTAAACATATACAAGGGATTAAGAATCATTCTTAAATTACATCAGAGAAAATTGATATCTTTATCAGCATAATTATAAGGAGTGTTTGCAAATAAAAGTATCCAAGCAGAAGGGTAAATTCAAAATTAAAATGATATAAACGAATATATTAAATCCTAAATTTTGGATAAAAAAGATTGTTTGTAAATGCTTTTTAAAAAATATTAAAATGTAGAATTCACAAAAGATATATAAATAGATTTTAATAATATATCAAATTAAATTATTAAAGAAAAAAATGAAATATTAAACAAGGATTGGGATGAATCAATTAAGGCTGATTATTTATTATTATTATCAAAAATCAAAACAAAATTGGGATTAATTTGTTTAGTTCAGGAGAATAAAGTTGTTATTTAATAAGAAATTATTAGATTATTAGATACCAAACTATACGACTTAAATTAGGTTGATAAAACAGAGAATATTGTGTAATTAGCTAAAGTTCAAGTATAATTGGACTAAGTAGAAATATTGAAATTGTAAATGAAAGATATATTTGATTGTGAAAGTCCAATTTAAATGATAGAAGATTTAATAAGTAAATCAAAGATTTTAAAAGAAATAATTTAGTGCCATCTTCCTGATACAACTTCTTAAGATTAATAAATAAATTTATCATTATTAAATAATTTAAAGAACAACTTTACAGAAAGTTTGAATCAACCATTTAATGATTTATTGCAAAACACTTTGGGATGCTGTTAATAAATTAACAAAAATGAATAAATTGTTTTGGATGAGGAATTTATGATAAAGCTTGAAAATCAACCGAATATAGAATAAATTCCTACAATTATATAAATATTTAACTTTAATACTCTCTTCATTGAAGAATAACTAATGTTACCATAGGATGTCAAAATAGATAAAATATCAAATATGATTATGCAGTTTAAAAATGAATTAAAGACAAATTACAAAGAGGGATTATTTGATATTTTTTAAAGTTCTTCATATAAAGTTAGGGAATTATTAGTATTCAATTTAATTAAGATGCAATCCATAGTTTAAGAAGAGACTATATAAGAGTTTTGTGAAAATTTATTAAAACAAATTTGGATAATTGAAAAACATCCTAGTGTTAGAAACCTACTTAAAAATGAAGAAATGATAATGATGTAGAGGAAGTTATTCTCAAAAGATTTACAGAATTTCTCAATTAAATTGAAAACAGAAATGCAATCAAGATTAAAATAAATATAACAACTAGAAAACTAAGTATTACTTAGTGACAATTAGGATGAAATGAAACTATAACTCTAACAGGCATATGATAATTTTGAGATATATTTGGATAATATTACAGATATGTCACAAAGATTAGATATTAGTTTAATATTTTTAAGAGAAATTAGCAAAGACTTGAAAAATATTAAATCTTCAATAGACTAGGTACTATCAAGTGTAAAATAAGTTGAAGATGATGTAAGGAGATTAAGAGGAAAGAATTTTTAAGAATTATTAAATATAAGAAAGCAGAAGGTCATAATATCATAGCACGAATAATAATTAGATTAAGTTCATATATAGATAAAAACTTAGGACTACGATCCTATCTCTGGAAATAAGAAAACTAATAGCATTGGAGAATTCACAACATTTTTAATTGCAAACAAACATGATGATTTTGATGGAGAAGTTAATGAATTCTTATGGAGTGATTACGAAAAGAAAAAGGATATCATGTTAATAAAAGGCAAAGCAGGTTCAGGAAAAAGTAGAGCATCTAGAAATATAGAAGAATTAATCTGGAGTTGTGATTAGATATCCCCAAATTGGATCCCAATTTATGTATCGCTTCCTTCATTAAAAGATCCTAATCATAATTTGATTGATTAAGCTCTTGAATCTGAAAATTATAATTTTGATAAAATTCAGGTAAGAGAATTCAAGGAGGCCATAATAAATGGAAATCTAAAAATTGTGATTATATTAGAGAGCTATGATGAGATGAAATTTAAAAGTATTGGAACAAATCTATACTAAACTAATAGACTGGCTTAAGATCTCAACATCTAAGCATCTGATTTAACTGTTAAGATTATTATTACTACAAGAGATGAAATATTAAATTAAATTGGATATCAAACGTGGTTTTACGGTTAGAGTATTGAAACTCTAAAAGAAATTGAAATATTACCATTTAGTGTAGAATAAAGCACATAATATATTAAAATATATGTTTAAATAAGTATAAAGAGAACGGTTAAAAGGTTTTATGAATTTCTTAAATAATTAAAGGATAGAATTTCATTTTAGATGAATTCAGGTTGATATGGAGTCAATTAGAAAGTACTATTTGTTCTATTATTTAATAACAACAAAATTCTGAAGCGTTATTTTTGACCTAGGATTTAGATAAGCTTATATAGAAAATGTAAACAATAGAATTTTTTTAATTTATCAATTCAAATTAGATGGTTTCTCTAAAAAAGGAATTGCTTTAATTATGGGGTGAACAAAGATTTTTAAAAGTAGTTTAGAATATTAATATATTTCATATGATGGGCACTCCTTTTATGATGGAGATTATTGTTTTCATATTACCAAAAATGTTACAATATTACTCATAATCAAATTCAATTCGAGATATTTTATAAAAAAACTTTATGGTTTTAAAAAGAGAAGCTAAGAAATCTGAATTTAAACTTGAAAAATACTTGGTATAGTAAATAAATTAAGGTTAGAAATCGAGGGATTAAAATTAAAAGGATATGAAGGCTAAGGAACAAAACTACGAACTTGAAAGATAATTTGATTAGATTATAGAAGATTTAGATAGTTAAAACTTTTTTGAATCATTTTCTTTAGCTAACTCTATACAATACATAAATAATACTACTATTTTTTCAAACAAATCCTTTATAGTGAGGTTTGATGCCAATTTTATTGTTTCTGCTTTCAAGTTAAATTAATTTAATGCTTTTGACTTTTATCATATATTTGTAAATTTCTATCACAATTAACAATTACAAAAGTTGAAAGATTTGGGTAAAAGTCTTCAACATGAAAGCTTTTTGTTAGACCTATAAGACATTTCTATGTATTTGGCTATAGATATGACATAGCGATAAATTACCCAAGTAAATTATCAATAAAAAGGAAAATTATTTATATAATAAGTTGAGAAAGAGAGGAAAATTGAGGTTTCTTGGGAAGATTCTTATTTTAGTGAGAATTAAGAAGATTTCGAATATAAAGCACTTTTACATAAGTGTATGTTGATTAATTCAAAGGGTAGTGTTTATACCTTCAATCATAAATCAATTTAGGAATATTTTGTGGCCAAATACCTTCTGAATTTGATTAATAGAATCTTTATCAATGAGACACAAAATGTTGACTAAGAAACATTAGCTTAAAGCAGTTTTAATAATGAATTATTTAATTTATCACTAGAACATTACATAGGTACTTTAGAATTATTAAAACCAAAAATAACAAAGATTGAAAAAATTAAGAATATACTAATTCGATTAGCCTCATTATCATAAAAAGATTAAGAAATTAATTTTACTAGATCTTCTTCTAATTCACTTTATCTTTTAAGCTATTTAAAAGAACATTTGGAAGATCTTGATTTAAGCAAAGTATAAATAAAAGATACAAAATTAAATGGATTAAGTTTCTATAATTGTAATTTAAATAATACAGAATTTACTAATGTTTCGATTGATTCATGTAATTTTAACTGTGCAACAATAGAGAAAGCAAATTGGAAAGATATCATTTGCAAAGAAAAACCATCATTATTTGGTCATAAATCTAACATAAATTAAATTGCTTTTAGCGATGATGGTCTTAATTTAATATCGAGCAGTAAAGATGGAGTGATAAATCTGTGGTAGTTATAAGGCGATGGAGATTTTAAGAGTATATCCTTGCCAGAAAATTAAACATTACTAACATTCTCTAGATGCAACAACTTTTTTGCATGTCTTACTAAGGATAGAATATATTTCTTTAATCCTAATGATCTGTGTTAATTAACATATTAATCATTAATCAATTATGAATACTAAAATCTGTTTACATCATCCAATGGTGAATATTTGGCAGCTGAAACGTTTTCAAATCAATTACACTTTTGGAAAATGCAAAATCTGCAGCAATAAAAATATTAATAGAAATATGTACTAAAACAAAACTAATAAGGTTTAATAAGTACTATTGTAATTTCCTCTAACTTTCAACTTATAGCCACAGCTGGCACTCAAATTAAAATTTGGAATGCTAAAAATATTAAAGATATTTAAGAAATTCTAGAATTTCCAATGTAAGAAGAATATACATTCGCAATTGCATTTTCAAACGATTCTAAAATCTTTGCAACAGGAGGAAAAAACAATAAATTAGAATTCTGGAATATTGAGAACTTAAATCAAATTCATTTATTATTTTCCATAGTTTAATAATAGAGCATACTATAAATAGGTTATTCAAATGATGGTAAAACGTTTGCTTCAAGGTAGGCCAGATCACTGAAGTTATATGATGTATAATAGATGCTTGATCAATAAGACTTTTTAAGAATAGATACTTCATTTGAAATTAATTTAGTTGAGATATCACCTGGCTCTTAAATGATAGCTTGTTGCCATCCCAAAAAAGATGAGAAGGACAATCCTAAAATCCAAATATGGGAGGTGAAAAATCCTCCCCAAATTAAGAAGCTCTGTATGTTTGTAGAATAAACTGAAAATATTACTTGCCTAAAATTCACAAATGATAATTTAGTTTTAGGCTCAGGCAGCAAAGATAAGACTATTTGTCTATGGGATTTACAAAAACAGAAACTAATTGTAAAATTAAAAACACACACAAATTAGGTATTAGATTTTGGATTTTCAACTGATGGAACAAAAATGGTGTCCTGTAGTTAAGATAAAACAATTATTATTTGGAATATCATAGATTTAGAACAACAGCAATTTTAAATATAAAAGTAATTGCAAAATGAAGCCAATAGAGTTGTTTTTTGGCCAACAACATAATTTTTTGTTTCTTTTTTAGAACAATTTTTTCTAAAGATATCAAATTATGGAATTCAGTTGAATTTAGCTTAATTTAAAGTGAGACGATCGAATCAAATATTTAAGATATAGATTTTAGTCAGAATGGTGAGATTATGGCATCGCTGAGCAAGAATGAAATTAGAATCTGGAAAATACATGAATAATCCATTAGGATTGAGAAAAATATTAGAATTGATCATTCAATAAAAAAAATACTTTATTTAAATAGATAAAATATTATTGTTCAAGGTAATTTTGTTGAACAATTAGCAATTGTGGAGGAACTTATAACATAACATCGATTTGAATTTTTAAACTATTTTTAGTATGTATCAGTTGCGTAAAATAAAAAATTTCTAGTGACTGGATATGAAAGTTAATTAGAAATTACAATTATTGAAAGTTAGAATCCAAATATGTTATACTTCACAAATGATTGCGTCGACTTCTAATTTTCAAAAGATTCTTCTCTATTGGCTTTCGCTACTTGTAAAGGAGCATTTGTTAAAAATATTAGAACTAATTAAATAATTCAGAAATTTGAATAAGATAGCGATTGTAGCTCTGTCTGTTTCATTGGTTAAGATTAATTAGCAATTGCGTTAGAAAGAGGTGAATTAGTTTTGTATAATATACAAGATTCTTAATTAACATAAAAATTTGCAAACATATAATTACCTTGCATTCCATCAAAAATTTCATTTTTAGAACAAAGACAATAAATTTTTATCATAAACTAAACCTATATTATATTGATAAATTTATCAAAAATAGCCTAACTTTAATTGGTCCAATTTGATTAAACGATTAAATCAAAAGATTTTATCTTAGATTCAGACTAATAATATATTGGTGTAGCCTTGGAAAATCAGATCTGTTTTATACCTTTAGAAAATACTATCATAATGGAGAAGGTATTTAAATTGATTGTAAATCAGAAAGATTGTATATGAACTTTTCATAAAATAATAGTAATCTTTTCACTATAGTTTTCAAAAATTCAACATTAATTTAAGTTGAAATTAATTCTAATTTAATTCATAAATAAATTAAGTTGGAAATAAAGAATTTGATATTTTTAACACTTAATCATAAAGAAACTTAATTAATTGCAATTTAAGAAGAAGAATAATAATAACAACAACCAAAAATATAAAAATCATCTCTTTTTGATATAGAAACAAATAAAATAATTTCATGCTTCGAAGAAATAGTTGATCCAAAATTTCATTAATCAGAACAGGCCATATTTTCTTAAGATGGACTATACTTTATTTCAAGTTATTATGACTTAGTTATTAAGTTATGGGATGCTAAAACTTGTAAATTGCTTTCAAAGTTTAAAAGTAATACGCCTTCCATAGAATTCATTCGAATTTCAAAAAGAGGAATAATTGCTTAAGTAAGTGAATAAGTAATAAAGTTATGGAATTTAAAAGCTTTAAAATAATAATCATTTGAAATGGATGGTCATTCAGATTATGTTAATTCCATATGCATTGCATCAGATGGATTGTAATTGGTTTCAGCGTCAGATACCGAAATCATTAGATGGGATTTGAAAGAACTTAAGAAGATTGATACTTTATTAAAAGGTAAAAGGATGCCAAGGATAATTTGCTTTGCACCTAATTGCTAATATTTATCTGCTCTGGATGGTCAACAAGGATTCCATATTTGGAAATTAAATACAAAATATATTATTGAACATTTTTTTGTATTTTCAAATATATTTGATGAAAAACCAACTTTTACTATTGATTCGACTCAACTTATTTGTCAGTAAAAAGATTATTCAAAATTATTTATTTTCAATTTAGAGTAAGCGTGCAAATAAACAAAAATTTTGAATTAATAAAAATTAAACTTTAAATCAAGAGCTATTATTCTTTCAAAAAATTTATTGATAAAAACAAATCCTCTAGAAGTAATTCAAACAAATAAATCTGTATTGAAGATTGAAGAGATGGAAGGAATAGAAGTTAATAAAGTAAAAAAAGTGGCTATTTGTGTTACTAATTTTAGATTGGCTATCTATGAAGATCATAATTATGTTATAATCATATGGTCAATAGAAAAAAAATAGCAAGAATCTATCTTATAGGACCCATCAGTAAAAAATATCGAAGTATAATTTTTGGCTTTTTCTGGTAATGGTAAATTACTCTTCTCTTTTCATAATGATGAAAAGATAAGAGTGTGGGACTTGAGTGATAAATTTTCTTTAATAAAAGTTTAGGATCTTTGGACTTTCCCTAATTCTTGTCAATTCTTATATCTATAGATATATCCTGTAAAAGATGAAGAATTCATGGTTGTCTCGGAATAAGCAATTCGCGATGGTTGGGACCTTGGCCACTACGAAATTTTCTGTTATCACAAGATAGGTATATCATTAGAAGCCAGTTAGGATGTATTCGGCAAGTATTCTGTTGGATATAGTGAATCCTATAATTTTATAGCAATCTAATTTTAAACTAAATTAAATTTATATGACATATCGTCATAAACCAGGCAATTGATTGCAATATTAGAAGGGAACTAATTTAATGAAGAATTATTTTCTTCAATTTTAGCTTTTTCATAAAATGGGAAGAGTCTATTATCTATAGGACAAGACCACACAATACGGTTATGGGACATCACTGATAAGAATTCTATAAAAATAAACCTTAATCTAACAAAACCAGTTGAAGCTCTATCATTGTTATTTTTAGACCCAAAAACAATTAGGATTTTTAGTAAATCTGGAGAAATTATTGATTAAAACATTTCTGATTTTACCCAAATAGGGATTATTGTAGATAAAAATGATTTCATTTCTCAAAGATAATCTATTGAGATATAAAGATATAGTGGTAAATTTGAAAACAGAAATTTATAGATTTTTGATACCCAAAAAAATGAATTAAAGTACACATTGAGTTATTTCAGTTCTCCGATAACGTGTTTATAATTTACTCCTTCTGGAAAATAATTCATACTTGGAATGAATGATGGTTCAATCCTACTTTATAAGATTGATAATGAAACATTAAAAAATTATGAATCACCAGTTTGTTATTATAAGTTTGCAAAAAGTCCACTTATCGAAGCGTTTTTTTGTAAAATTGAATAATCTAAATTTCAAAATAATGAAAAAGAAAACCTTGAAAAATTATTTTCATAGAAAAGACTTAATAAATGAAATGTTATAAAATAATAAATATTTTATATGATTTTATAGTTAAATAATTTGAACTAAAAATAATTAAACCGTAATTAATACTTTTTCTAATGACAAATAAAGTTTCTGTTAAAATTTATGAGCTTATTATTTGCATACTCAATTGCAATTTTATTATTCATAAATTAATATTTCAAATAAGCTCATTTTTAGCTTTAAAGAATTATAAGATAATGAATATAAAGGCTGATTGATTTTAACTTTAAACAAATTTATAAGATAGGATCAACAATATCACATAACTGAACAGGTTTACTTGGAGATTTTCATAAACTGTGAAAAGTTCCAAATAAAATTTTTTGCACAAACTATCATTTTGGATAGAGGCTGAAACATTTAAGAGAATTAATGGCTGAAGCTCTCAATTCATTAGATAATTTCCATCCTCTGGGATTGTTGAAACATCACTAAAATTCAAATAGGAAAACCTGATCTCTCAATGAATTCTTAAAAAATTTTATGCGAATGATTAGGCAAATCTCTTTGTATTATTTTGATGAATTGATGAATAATATTATAAATGCTAACTTATAATTATACTCTTCTGTATTATTTGCTTATTAGCGTTTTGCAAATTATTTATGTTTCAAAATAAAATACATAAATTTATTCTAATTATATTTAGAATGATGTTAAATTTTAATAAATTGTAATTTGTTGTATATTAATTATTCTGATATTAAAAAGCAAAAATCACAAGTTAATTAATAATAATTTAAGTCCTTGATTTCTAAGTAAAGAGTTTAAAATTTAACAGATGGTATTTTAAAAGATTTTATTAATTTTGAATAATACTTCTCCATAAAAAAAATATGTTGCAAATTTTCATGATATATGGATTTAGTTATATTTTTAGATAAATTCTAAAGCATGCGAAATTTAGTTACTGCAACTAATGTTGCAAATTAGAAGGGAATGAGGAAATTTGTTTCAAACTAAAATATGTTGATAAATAAATTTTATAAAAATTATTTACTATTCATTTCAGAGTTGTTCCAAGAAAAATAAAATATTACGATCCTTAGGTTAAGTTATGATATAATAGAAACTAATTTTTTTAATTTTTTCTGGATATTAAGAATTATATTTATAGATAAAATAATATTATGTATTATCTCAAATATAACATGAATAAAGAAATAATAATCTATATATTATAACATATCACTAAGTTATGAAAATGAACTTGAAAATATTAAAATAATAATAAAACATTACTTTTGAAAAGTCCTCTGATGAATTTTTATTAACTAGAGAGCTGTAGCTTAATATTATTTTACATGGCATAATTACATTAAGACAATATTAAGTATGCCTATTAGGTGACATTATGCTGATTTTTGAGTTTGTTGTTTCGATTTAAATTTAGACTAATTGAAAAAAGAAACAATTCACCCTTTTAGACAAACAATAGTTTGTATTTGGGTTTTTTAATGGTTTAATGAATTAATTATATTGGAATCTAAAATAGATTAAAATAATCATGCTATTAGACGTTCACTTTTTTCAGTTAAAAATCCTTAAAAATGGTTTAAAATATTTTCTTTCATATTTATCTCCATCTGATTTTCTTTACAAATAACAATTATATGTAAATTTGATTTTTAAATAAATTTATATTACTCACAAAAATTAAATACTAACACATTGAAGTACAAGATATATTTTGAAGTAAAATGATCAAGTATTTACTTATTTTGAAAGATCTTTGATGAAGGATCAACATACTTTATGATGAATAAAATGTTTTATGAAAATTAATATATGCATGATCAATAAAGATTTTGATGAATACTGTTAATAGATATTTTAGTATGCTCAAATTGATTTTAGAATATCCACTGATATTTATGTCTTCAAGATGATAAAGGTCAAGAATATTTTTTATAGTTAGCCAAGATTTTGAAAAAAGTCTTAGATAAAATTAATATATTGTGTCCGTATCTTTTCATCTTATTTCTTTGAAACACCAAACTAAAGGTCATTATATCAATTTTCATGTCCAGAATTTTCCTTCATGTAGAAGAACTCAGTAGTTGAAATTTAAGCTATATTGTTTTCAATAATTATTTATAATGAATCTCTTCATTTCTTTCATCCATAAAATAAAAGAAGAGATCTGAACTTCTCCAACAAAACATTGTTCAATTGCTTTTAATGGGATATCCTCACCAGCATTATTTTAAGCTTCTTAAGTTCTCAGGTAGTATGAATTAAGCCTATGTAATATGGAATTATCGCTTGTATTTAATTGATTCTTAATTCTAGCCATGCAGATGCTCTGTGCTTTGTGCATCCTCAGTTAAATAAATCTTATCCCAGAAATTTATCAATTTACCTATCTTTAAATTAATTTAAATATATATTAATATTATAATAAACTTTGACTTTAATTTTAAATTTGTACTAATAATATATTTCAAATAAAATATTTGAAAATTAATAAGTAAATTTTGTACTTTATAATCATTAAATATTGTATACTTTATATTTCTCTTTCTTCTAGAGGAAGGACATTCAACATCTTTGAATTCAATTTCTAATTTAGTATTAGTTATTATGTTTTTTCATATCTATTAACTTACAATCCATTGATTTTGAAAATCTCTGTCATTTATTATTCATTTTTTTTGTAATCTTTGAGCAATATTTAATTACTAATGTAAGAGTTGGGTATTGGTAAAATATTTGAATTGGGAAAAGAGGCTAGATCGAAAATTTTCAATTTAATTTAAAGAAAACTAATTGGAGGTATTGAGGCTTATTAGAATGATGTTTCATATATAATACTGTAAGTATCAAAAATCTCCTCAAGAAGGGAAATTCAGACAATCATTGATATATTTGAATTAAGACTATGAGATCTATAAAATCAACATTTAATCTGGTTTTACATAAATGTTAAATAATCTTCTATTTCTACTCATAATCCAAATTTATAAATCCAACTAATTAATCCATTTTCTATTGCTTTGCAAATATTATTGATAATTAAAAATTATTCTTTTATCTTTCTTATTTTGTTATAATGAGCCATGAATTAATATTTTCCACTATTTACTTAATAATATTATTAAAAGATTTACAATGATAATATTTGCTAAAGACTTTGATTTTCTATAATTTATTCCTTAATTCACATAATTAAAGTTTCTAGCAAAATTGAATTGGTTGTATCAACTATTAATTATTTTATTTTGAATATCATCTTCTGAAAACTCTGGAAAAGTGACTGAATTCTAAGAAAATAGGATATCTCACAAAAATTACTTTCTCCTCAAATATTATTAACACTCAACATTTATTTTATATGACCTTTCTCTGGTATCTGGCTAACCTTTCCTATTTAATTAGTCTAAAATATAATAGATTAGAATAAGGAAAACAATAGATTTTTATGAAATTGCTCTGAGAAAGTATAAAACTACTAATTAGTTTCACTTCTCATTAATGTATGTTGAATAGGATTGCCATATTATTAAATATATATATTCCTAAAAAAATAATGAGAAGAGAATAAAGTTACTAATTAGATGATTTGAAAAGAGACTCAAATTTAATTTTTATATGAATTGAATTAGTTTCTATCCAATTGATAGAATTAATAAAATAATATTATCTCTAAGGAATAAATTAACAGAAATTTATTTCCATTTTAATATATATTTAGGGCTTAGTCCACCATAGAGAGTTTCTTTTAAGAAAAGGAGACTTACAATAGTGTTGATTTCTCTACCTCTGCTATTACACATCTTTTATCTTTACTCTGCTCATAATGTTCACAAAATTATGCTATTGATTTCTGCGAGCAAATTCATAAAATGCAATAATACAGTATTATCTGACCTCATCCTCTCGCATGTGCTGACTATACTCATCATTTATATAGTTTATAAATAGTGAATTTAATATACGATTCAAATATTGTCACTCTCAGTGCTTGTTCGAGTCTATTGATTCTTGATGTTACTCAGACTCATCATTTGTTATTAAATATGAGAATGCGTTTGCTGTATTATTACGATTGATTTAATCTAAAGTATGTCACCTAGGATAATATAGTTATGGCTTATTTTCTGAAAGAACAGCTAAATCTAAACATTGTAACTATCCAAAAAAAATTGAAGGATTGCAGCAGACTTTATGTCCAATTATCTCTTGCTTGCTTCAAATATGGATCTATATTAACATAACTATTTTTCAAGTATTTAATATCCTTTATGATAGATTCTACAATGATTGTGCTGCTTGAACTACTTGGAGTTGAGCTAATCATCCTATCCTTGTTCATCAAGTTTCTATGAAAATAATAGTATGTAATGGCTAATCCCAAATGTTTATCTTATGTATGTGAGAATTAACAAGACTAAATGTTGGTCCTGTAAACTATATGATGCTTGCAATTCATTTATTGTAATTATAATTCTGCTCAAACCTATGAACTTAATATTAAGATGTAGAATAGCAAGCATTCTTGCATTTATATTGTAGAGTACAATCATTACATGCTAATACTCCCTCTTGTAAATGTTGAGCTAATTAGCCTGTACCAAAAGCATTTCTGGTATTAATGGCCTGCCAATAATAGTCAAGTTTAATATAGTAATTGCTTAGTTTCTTAAATGATTCAATATAATCATTTAACAATATTTACACTTATTGCTCTTCTTAACTCTTTTAAGTTTAATAGATTTTGTGCATAATATATTGCTGTAACAATTCTTTGTTAAAATGAAGACGAATAATGCTCTGCCATAATCAAATACATATTCATCTTAATTATGATTACAATTAGTAGTAAAATAAGGGAGGTTTACTAGAAGTTTGGCCATGTCTATACTTTTGCCGAACTTTTCCTTACTATCATCTACCAGTGGACACATCCTTTCTAATATTTACAACTTAAACACTTTATGAATAGTTCTTTTTAAGATAATATAGGAATAGAGTACATTTTAAACTTGCAGATGAATGAAAGCTGAGCAATCCATTATTGTATCAAAAATTAAAAAACCTAAGATGATGATTGATTTATATAAATAAAGAAGTGTTTTTTGGTTTAGGATTTTAATATATGTGAGCAATTATTCTAATGAGAATTCTTAAAGTTTGTTAACAAAATGAAGGAATAGTCTAGCTGAGGCAGAAATTGGTTTAGCAAATTTCATCATCGTATTATTAATCCTTCTAATTAATTGTAACAACGCATGGCTTAAAGTGGTACTGCAGCCACCATTTTACATGTTCAAATTATAGAATAACAGTAGTTTGACCAAAGTAATAAAGGCAAGGATTGAATAATTGCAAAATGCATAGAGTTGAATAACGCAACCTATAGTTAACAATCGCTACATGCCTTCGCTCTGAAACAGAAGCAGGCTAAAGATAATAGCAACAGCTATTCAAGAAACACATTCAAAGAGATCTGAGTTGTATTCCAAATTAGAAAGGATAAGAAAAATAGTTTCCTTCACAATGAGGATATCCCCCACGCATAAATTCTTCTGAAATAATATTTACACGTTTTGCATTCATAGATTTTACTATGCTAGTACGATATGTATTGATCTTGCTCTACTATGCATCCAATATACTTAATTGACAAATGCAAGTCAAGCTTGTATCCTTAAAATTGTACATCTGGTTCAAGCTCTGTAGTTAATTTAGGTATATTTACTTCCCAGAAATTGTAAATATTTCATTCCTGTAGTAGAAATTTTGCCTCTTATTTTTAAATGCCGATATTTTTTAACAATAGCAACAGTCTCCTATGTACAAGAATTCAACATATTTACTAAGATATTAAAGCTGAGCCACAACTACTTTAAAATGTTGTAGTATATATTTTCAGAGATAATCTATTTCAACTTTATCTATTAATGATTACTAATATTCTCAGCTCCAAATAATTTTTGTTATTTGTTCATCAAATAGTCAAGTAGATCAACTGAGATTCAAACTTTTGTTATTGTATCACATCAGATATTAATTGTTACTAATGTGCTACCTCAGAGCTTGTACCAAATATCCTTGTAAGCATACAACATAATCTGGTTGACAATGCATGCATACGATGCATATCTAGATTCATAAAGATTCCTGTTTGCCCCTTTTATTTTTGAAATTTATTTTGATTTACTACTCAAGAAACTACATACTTAATTACACTAGCTAATAATTGGAAGATAAATAAGAAGGGGATAGAAAAGTGGAAACTTGCTGATAGGTACTAAAATACTTTCTGATCATGTGATGATTTGTCTTCGAAAGTTATGTATAAGTAACTAAGTACTTTTTTTTGAATTTGCCTAAGAGAGAATTTTCAAGTATTATCGGAAAATCAAAATAAATAAAAAGGTTTGCGCTGATCATAAGCACCAAATTAAGGAAAAGTAAGAGGACAATTTATTAGAATAGGAATTCTAATTTTAAAAAAGTTTTTAATGCAGTATAATCATAAAATTGATATAATCTATTCACAAATAGGAAGCTGGTAGCGTTAAATGAGAATAGAATATATATATAAAAAGCTATCAAATTTAAATGATAAATTTGAAAGAATTGAATTATGTGCAATTATAAAAGTAAAAGAAATATCTTGAAATGTATTATAATGAATCTTAGAAGAAGATTAATATATCAGAATTGGTCTCTACTATTTGATAGAAGAAAAGGAAAATTAGATTGCTTTGGTAACAGAATTTAACAAGAATATAACTCCATTTGATAGTATGACTTTGTTGATTGCCCTTGTAATAAGCAGAATAATTAGACATTTAAAACTGAACTCTTAAAGTTTAAATCTTATTTAAAGACTCGCAAGGCAGATCCAATTTTGAATAATTTTGATAAGAAATTAAGAACAACTATATGCGGTTTGCAAATAAAATTCGGTATTAGTAGTTACTTTCAAAGTATTTTACTTTTGGTATATTTTTAGTTTTGTTGGGAACAACAGTAAGTATAATTCATTACATTTTAATTGGTGATAAAGTTGAAGAATAATTTGATTTAGGAAGTTTAGCTCATACAGGCTTGAGAGAAGAGAAAAATCTTAACCCTAAGAATGTCTGAGATTAAAACCTTTGATATTTCTTATTTGTCATGTGAACAGCTTAGTTTGAAGCTCAATTTAAATCAGAATTATTGCTTTCAAAATAACTTTGAATGATTTAGAAGAAATTCAATATGCAATCAAATGAATACACAATCCAATACAATATTTTTAAATATAATTAATAGAAATTAAATCTACTAAGATTTCTTATGTCTTTCTGAGCCTAATTATTAAAAAATGCACAATAATTTAAAAGTAAGCATCACTGAAATTTAAGATTTTGAAATAAATTTTTTGATTAACTTATCTGATTAAAATATTATTTTTCTAGCATAGAGCTTGATTTTTCAACAAAAAATCTTAAAATCCTACATACTCAAACTTTGCAATAAAAAACAGGATAAGAGATTTAAGGATTAGCTTAGGAAGCTACTTACTTCCTTTGATAATTTTGTGATGTTATCAACACATTATAAAATTAAATATCATTATTAAGAAAGACCAGTTAAGGTTTAAACTTTAAGGCTTAAAGAATCATCATGATTAGGAGGGGTCTACTAGATGGATGATGATAGCATTATGCTTAATTTCTATTTTACAGTTTTCCAAAATTAAATCCTAGCTATAATCGTTATTTAATTTAAGTATATGCGGAAGTTTCAAATGAGGAAAAAAATTGAATGATCAAATTTAAGAAAATAAGAAATTTACAATATATAAATATTGCTAATTTGCCAATTAATCTAATCTTTTGGTATGTTATGTAACTACACACATGATTGTTATGTTAAGACTCTAAAATAATATATCTAACTGATGAAGATATATTATTTTGTTGTATTTATTGCTCAAATCTATATAATGAATATTTAAATGTTGTTCATATATTTAATAATTCATATGTTGAATATCCTTCCCTTTTTGCATCCCAACACACCAAATATTTTCCATTATTTGTGATATTTCCATAAATATAGTAAGTATCAAAATTCAATTAATCCTCAATTTTGTAATTGCCATCATTAATTTCTCTAATGATATATATATATTTCTTATGTCTTACTACTATTAAATTCCTCTCCTTATTATAAATAATTGAAAAATGAAATTCATCACAGTCTTTATAATTTGTAATTAATTGAACTGTCTTATCCTAATTTTCTTAATAGACTCCTTATATTAATTCAAATACATAAAGTCTGTCTAGTGCCTATTCACCAGTTATCCAAATAAATTAATTCTCTTTGATGAACTTAACTTTAAACCCATGGTCTTTAATCGATTACTTAACAAAATATTTGAATTCATATTTATCTTTTTCTCTTCTTTCCCAAATAATTATTTAATTCTAACTTGATGCACATGATACTAATTAATTTTCTGATTAATTTAAACTTAAAGACATAATACGATTATTATGCTTATCCAAAGAATAAAGAAATGTTAATTTATTTTGATTAAAATCAACCTTCCAAACTTTAATTGATTTGTCATCACTTCCAGAAAATAGTAAATCCTCATTTGAACTCAATATGATACACATAATATAATCTGTATGTTTTTAATAAGGTTAAGAAGAATTCCATTCATAGTTCTACGATTGCCAGCATCTTATTGTTTTGTCTAAAGAGCATGAAATAAATGAATTCTATTTTTTACTAGCAACTAAACATTAGACCAAACTAGTATGCCCTGATAATGTTTTTACTAATTTGATTGTTCCATTTATTAAACTCCATACTATAATATCATTATTTTAGGTTGATACCATAATTGAACCAGAAGAATCAAAAACTATCGACTTACATACTTGATTCTATTTAACAGATTAATCAATTAATTTAAACTTGATTTCAGATTTCTAAAGTAATTCTTATTTTTCATAATTTAGTTGTGATTCTGACTTTATTTTTATTTATTATTATTATTAATTTTGAGCTAAATTCTCAGAAGATAAATCTAAATTTGACAATACTTCTTTACATTTTTTATATTCTACAAATGCCTTAAATAATTCTAATTTAGGATATAATTTGGAAGTCCAACAGTTATTTTTTTTTTTAATTTTATGGATAAATTATTAACAGTAGTCATCAGCTTTAATTTATTTCATTACGATATTTTCTAATTCCTCATAAAAGCTATAATGAGATTATTCTGATCTTTATTGTTATAGATTTTTAATCCATTCATTTATTATTGCAAACTATTGATCAAATTATTAGATGGCAAATGATTTCATTTGATTTACCATACTATATAATTGTTCAATTAATTCTATTTAATTAACTATTACATATTCTACTTTTTCCATCTTCTTTAATTAGGCTTCTTCAATTAATGAAATCATTTTCTTTAATCCGACTACTTTAGCATCGAAGTCTGTATTCTCTATGCATTCTGTGCATAAGAGTCTTTAATTCCTTGATAATTTTGGATCAAGTACAATAGAAACGACTGGTAACTTATGTCTTTAACAACAACAAAAATCTTTCTCATTTTCTATCATTTTCAATTTAGACATTTTATTTAAATTATATAACTTAGAGGCAAAGAATTAATACAAGTTATATAATGTTAGAAATAGTAATATCATACGCTTTAAAGTAATTTATATGTAAGATAGAGTTAGTTATAATTAATATTAACTTCAGATCTGATGATAATAATAACAGGTGGAGTATACTTTATTGACATTTGATGCTTTATGAAACTCTATCATGCCAATAAGCTATTGAAAATTGATTTACTTTGAACTGAAAATTTGATATTATAACCACATATATGTAAAATATTTCAGGATCAAATTTTTTGAATTTGATATTATATCATTATTTACATTTCTGATAAAAAAAGTGGGCTTTGTTGAAGAGAAAAGGAGTACTGTTATAATCATTAAAGCTGAGTTCATGTATTAGTATAATAAGCTTGATAGATACTTATTTGAATTGTATGTTCTTCTGTATAATTGAAATGAAGTGAAAACAAAAAAATAAGAATAGAATTATAATGTTTAACGAAGACCATTCCTTGAGAATCTTGTAATTAATACTTAAAAGTACCATTTAGTCCTTCTGATTTATTTTAATATAGTTTTGAATCTACAATAGATTAGCATTAAGAGTATATAAATTACTTGATATCATTAAAAAATACAGATTAATTTCATAGGGATTCAAGAATTAGAATGATATAATGTTTATTTAGATTATTACAAAGAAAGTTGAGATTCATTTAATTTAGCAATGAAATGAGTGGTTTATTTAAAATCTCTGTTATTTTTTATTCCCTTGGGTCTGGTCAGAAGGATCTATTCTTTAATTGATAAGTAGAATTTCATGTATAAATATACTCCATTTCTTTTTCGAATGGTCCTCAG